TTGCTATCTCTTCGACCCTCCCGACGAGGACGCTTCCTTCTTACGCGGCCATCGCGTGGTTCGTCCCTTTTCCTATTAATATCTTAACCGTACAAGCACTGTTTTCATTGCAATAAAGGGGAGGAAAATGGCCATTTTTATGTAAACATTTTCGAAAGTTACACGATAATCTTCCATTGGTGTGCCGATTTTGAATTCATTAATTATTCGTAATTACGATCTCGCGGAGAGGTGCGATGTAGTCTTCGTACTCTAAAGAACACAGGGAATTTAGAAAGGCAGATGAGTTACTTCGACCGCTCTATCGACGGTACGATAGAGTAAACATCGCTGCACGTTTCACCGTCCATTTCGATGGAATCATCCCCCGAACGTTCCACTCGTAGAATTGCCTAAACGCAACATTTTTATCGTCGTTTTCAGCCTGCTTCCATGGCTCGAATCTGAAAATTGTCCGGTTTGGAGTGGACGGGCGACCGCGGCGGGGGTGTAGACGATAAGGGAGACCGCGTCGGGGTTGAAGGTAAAACGCGGACAGAGAGAGGACCGGAGAGGACTGTGGAGCATCGGTGCCAGCAGGCCGTGTGAGTTATGGCCGTCCCGACGCTCTCTCCCATTGGCCCTGGGCTCAATTTACAGATGATTCCGCGTGTTACCGCCTGGCCAACGGCTGGTTAACCTTCCTGCCAAACACTTAATCTTCCGACGTGTCCCGCGACCGTCCCGGCCGCGACTTTCCAGATAACAGGCCGTGGATACGGACGGTCGTAGGAATGGAAAGAGGCGCTGCTGGCCCCAGTGGCCCATAAACTTGCCCACCCTTTACGATCGTATTGCCACCCACGAGCGGCGTACATGCGACCTTCTGTCGCTGGAGCGTGCCACGGACCTCTCGGCCAGATTTATTGGTCCTCGATGGGCCGACAATAGCCAACAAGTTGCTGGAAAACGATCCCTGCCCTGCTACGCCTCCTACGCACCAGTCGTTCATGCGATTTCCTCGACGACTCAAGGTCGAACACGCGAGTCGGGGTCAAAGGTTACGAGCTACGATTAAATCGAGCACGATGCACCCTGCGCTGAAAACGATTTGACAAGCCATTCGACAAGCTTTTACCAACCGACGAGAGCACGTTGCTCGAATTCTACCAACAATCTATGAAACGCCAATTACATAACGAATTGCAGTCGATGCACGGATCGTGAGTTCGGTGAGCAGCGTTACGCGAAGATCGTAACTTCGATCGACCTCGAGAAGATTTATCCGTGCTTTGTAAGAATGACGTATTTCATTGTGCCGAACGTATCTATACAATCACTCCGGCTACCTTGAAGGCAGATTAAGCAGAATATGAGGAAGAATGGTGCAATATTCTCTAAGAAAAGATACGGTGAATAATTCTACGTGGCTGCGCGGAGGATTTTGAATCCTGGAGATCGTACATCATAACGATTTAACAAAGTGAAAAAATATACAGAGGGATCAATTAACGATCCTCCGTGTTGCTATGATCTCCGTGCATCGCTACGCTAAATGAACAGCATTCTTTCGTAGTTAATGGATTGCCTACTAAACTAATTATACGAGAGATTTCCCGAGGATTGCCCCGGAGATTGTCATATCTCATTCAAATGTCAAACGTACCCCGAACCGATAAATTTCTTCATCGAACGGTATATGATCTGATAGATGAACATCTTCTGGAGATTAGAAATTTCTAAGTAAAATTTACGCGTTGGCCGCAGATGCCGCGAGTCCCGACGAATTGATAAACTTTTTAGTATATTCGAATCGTTCGCAGAGGTGGTCCATCATTTCAAGGAAGCAATAATTCATACGATCGTTGACGGTCTTTGATTATCACTTCTTACAGCGAAATCGCCGAACGGGTTGAACCCATCTAGCAAATAAATCAAAATAAACTGTACGTCACGCATTATGTCATTAATGTTATTTGATTAGTACCCCGATGCGGTTACTTTCGATGCACAATTTGGTACCGGCGGCAAAGATGTTGGGATTAATGAAGTGTCACTTTATTAATGCACGTAACGTTGTTTGATCAGCACTCCGCGTTATTATATACGATCCACACAACGTTGATACTACGCTCTGAATATCAGAACCGCGCTAGATGTATCAAATTACCCTGGTCATTTAATTAGTAGTCAACGGTTGCGTTCACTTCGCGGCGTAAAACATTACGAGACGGTTGCCCTGCACTTTTGACGAATGCATCGCGCAATTTGATTAATTACCGGAGTCATGTAACGACACCGAGTCAATAATTATAGTCTATATTATCAATGCTTAGGCGTAACGCGATACCGGCGTTGCCTACTGCGCTTCCGGTTACGCAACGGCCTCTGCAGGAAATTGCACTGGCCACCGAAAGGCGCAGAAATATTGCCCCGCGTTCAACTTCTCAGGGAGTGGTGATTTCCACTGCTCGATAATATTGAACAAAAATTATTATGTCTGGCGAAGACAGGATCCTGGGCTCGTTTGCCATTTCATTTGGCCGGTTCATTGGTTGGAAACAAATTAAAACATCCAGACAACAATTATCTGTTATTGCATTTAGATAATTTAACCCTTGAGTAGATTATTGGGGGCCCTCCACAATTTTAAACTAGTACTCATCAGTTCATTGCTTTTTAAATGCTTTGAAGGGAAGTTCGTTTGGTAAAAATCAACGTTAAGTAAAATAATTCATTTGAGATCGAGAGTCCACTTAAGGGTTGTTTGTTGCCATGTTTGGCTTAGAATCTCGATCACAAGAGTTTGTCTGAACGTTATTATATTAACGTAATTTAACCCTTAAGTAGATTAATGGGGACCTCCACAATTTTAAACTAGTACTCATCAGTTCATTGCTTTTTAAATGCTTTGAAGGAAAGTTCGTTTGGTAAAAATCAACGTTAAGTAAAATAATTTATTTGAGATCGAGAGTCCACTTAAGGGTTGTTTGTTGCCATGTTTGGCTTAGAATCTCGATCACAAGAGTTTGTCTGAACGTTATTATATTAACGTAATTTAACCCTTAAGTAGATTAATGGGGACCTCCACAAGTTTAAACTAGTATTCATCAGTTCATTGCTTTTTAAATGCTTCAGAGGAAGAAAAGGTAAAATAATTCATTTGAGATCGAGAGTCCACTTAAGGGTTGTTTGTTGCCATGTTTGGCTTAGAATCTCGATCACAAGAGTTTGTCTGAACGTTATTATGTTAACGTAATTTAACCCTTAAGTAGATTAATGGGGACCTTCACAAGTTTAAACTAGTATTCATCAGTTCATTGCTTTTTAAATGCTTCAAAGGAAGAAAAGGTAAAATAATTCATTTGAGATCGAGAGTCCACTTAAGGGTTGTTTGTTGCCATGTTTGGCTTAGAATCTCGATCGCAAGAATTAGTCTGAACATTATTATGTTAACGTAGCTCCCAGAGAGGCTCTTTTTGAATTAGTAGCCGCCTCGCGACGATTTGGGGGCAGGTTCGGTCCAGGCGAGCTCGAGGGGTGGAACGAGGAAAACGTGGTCAATTAACGGCGTCGCGTAGGAGTCGAGGCGTCTGTTTATAGCATTAGCTGTCCCAGAAGCTAGGAAGGTATCGGCTATCCCGAGGACACATTGTGGCTCGCCACGGGGTTGCCGATGTCCGTCGGCTAATGACAGTCCCCAGCCACTCCTTTTCCTCCGCAGTGCCCGGGACCCGCGTCATCTGGAGTTCATCACGTGCGAAAAACCACGCGTTTCCCAAAGCATTCGTAAACATTTCGCCGGGCAAATTATGATGTATCGTTCGCCGTCGAACGAGGAGGCTTCGACCGCCGTTGAAACGCGGGACAATCGATAGACCGATGGCCAACACATGCGGGCCCTCACGGAACCCTTTCAATGAGGATGAATTATTGTCTTCCGGGGGATGAATCGGCCGGTGCCTCGCGTTTCCCCTTTCTCGGTCACGGGGAATCCGTAGTCCCGTCGTCTTCGCCCGTGACCAGAAAACCATCGGGCGATTCGTTCTGCCACGGGGGTTTCGATTAGGCTCCTGGAAACGTCTGTGGGTCGTGTTTGATTTTGGTCATTAGGACGCGGCCGTCGTTCGCGGTAGCTGCCCCGTTTAATGATTCCATTCTCCGGTGTACTCGCACAATGTACGTTTCTTCGCGGCTGATCGGCTTTTTATTGAGATTGATCGCTTCGCTGGATCGCCAAGACGAGTCTATTAACAAATCCGAAAACGACGACGAGGTTTTGTTTACGCTGACCAGCGATGCTTTTTAACGCGGGGCTGCTCGAATAGAATAAAATAATAATAAGGGTAGATCAAATTTATTCTTCCATCGACTTCGTCGGATTATATGCCAGTTGTTTAGTCCTGAACCTACTAGGATGTGACTTTACTCCTGGAGGAAGCCTTGACTTCGAGGATAATTGTCATTGTTCGACCTGGTGTACAACTACGTCATAATTTATTTACTAACATTTTCGATTTTTCGTGGCAAGGGTGGTACAGGGAACGAAAGCACCCTTAGGTGTAACTTTTTCTATCATTGCCAGTTCAATTATAGAGTGTAAAATCGCGTCGCGTCGGTTCAGTGTCTTGGCACCGAAATGGCTGATCAAAGCAGGGAACGCTCTACTGCAACGCTGGGAGCGAACAACGTCTTACAGCGTCCGAATAATCGTGGTACGACTGGGTTGTAAATGATTTTGCATGGGGAAACAAGTAAAAAACAACTGTTCTTTGATCACAGTTGCCTCGTCCATCGAATTTTTTCCGCTGCTTCATACTGGAGACTCTCAGAGTCCTTAATACTACTTCTCTCTTGTCTATATTGACAGTATATCGGTGTACAGCTTCTCTAACCAAAGTCAACTAACTCGAGTATGAATTGATGCAATACTAAAGCTGAAAACGTGTACCTAATCCCGCTGGATCCCTAAATCCCATTATTCTGAATCTCGAAACTGGGGGATGGGACTTTGCTCTTACCTTGCTGGTTGCTCTTTCGCGTGGTCTTCTTCTCCTTCATCCAGGGGTACTCGGGCACGTTGACGGACGGATCGGCGACCCCGTGAGGGTCCATCATCGCGTGGTAGCCGGGATGATGGGAGCCCGGGCTGATGGATCCCCCGGTTCCCGGGGAATGCTGAAGGCTACCGTCGCCGGCCAGCTGAGGCAACGCGGTCATAAATTCGGCCATGGAGGGCTGGCTGTTGATGAACCCGGTCTCCGCGGTGCCGCATGACGGGTCCATGGCTGGATGATGGGTCCCGTGCGGGGGCAGCCCGGCCGGGGCACCTGCCCCCGCGGCCACCGTGGCCAGCCAGAAGCCACCCCCTCCGTCGTTCGCCAGGACGGGTGTCGTCGGCCTCGTCTTCAGGCTCGCGAGCTCCTTATCCGCGTGGACCAACGCCTCCAGGTGGCCCCCGGGTTGCTGCACGTTGCCCGAGCTTCCCAGCTGCGCGGATTCCTCCGGATCTTCTCGCTGGCGCTCCAAGGGTTGTTGCTTGTCGCGCATGGAACGAGATGGTGGCTCGTTTCCGTTGAATCGCGCGGATTCGATAGAACGGAGGTCGTTCCTCTTTCACACGGGGGGGACGAACGAGTATATTGCTCCTCTTGCTACGTTACGCGACAGAGTCCAGGAAACACGCGAACACGGTTACACCTCGGGCATTCCAACCCCCGTTCCCTGCACTTTAGTGTTGCATCTACACACGGGTCACTATCGCAGTCACCCGGTTCACCACATTCACCGCGTCATCTCTCCCCTAGTGTTCACTGGAGCTCACGCACGGGGTCACGGTGGAGATCTAGGTGCACAGAACACACATGCCTCGGGGAAACGCACCCCGAGGGTGCACGGTTACCCTCGCGGATCGAGCACAACGCGGAAGCACTGTCACCAGGATCCGCGGATCGATGAAACGCGCGAGATCGGCGTACGGAGTGGTCGACCGCGGCTACCAGGAGCGTTCCGATCGGCCGGAACCCAGGCTGGCGAGGCAGGCTGGCGAGCCAGCGATCGCGATGTACGCTTGCCGAGTGACGCGGAGGAGGAGGAGGAGGAGGAGGCAGGCGGAGGCGGAGGTGGAGGTGGTGGTGGCTCGAGAAGGGCAACGGCGGAGAAAGATAGGCGTGAGGCGGGGGGTGGTGGTGGTGGCGAGTGATCGCGGTGGTGGCGGAACCGGTGAACAGGATTGCACCGGGGACGAAGAGGAAGAGAAGAAAGAGGCGGCCTCGGTCACGAGAAGGAGAAGGAGACGCGCACGGTGACTTCCACACGGAGGCGCCCTGACGAGTTCCACCGCTCTTTTTCGCTTCTCCAGTGTTCTCCGTGGCGTGTCTCTGTTGTTACTGCTGTCTCTTTTCCCAGGCCGGGTAGGGGGGCCCCGCTCAGGGTCCTGCTCGACCGCGGAGCAGCGGCGTTTCGTGGAACGGGGTGCGGGAGAGTCACGTGAGCTCGGTTGCCGGAACGAGGCGACCAATGGGGCCGCGGTATCGCGGCGTCGGAGGCACAACCCTCCGGCGTCGTAGGCGGGCTGGCTCGGCGCTCCCCGGAGGGCTCGGAGGGCACGGAACCAGCAGGGTACACCGACGGAGCCGTTGCTCGCCGCGGCAGTGCAGCCAGCCGACTCTCCTCTACCCTGGCCGAGCACGAGGCCGACTTGGGCGGTCATGGATTCCGGCGCAGTTGTGGGCGGGACGCGCGAGCGCGCCGCTCCCGAGGCCGGGACACGTGGAGGGGAATTTCTCACGTGCTCGACCACGCGGTCCCACACTTCCTCCGGGGGAACGGCCGAGTAAGAGGTAAAAATCTATCTCTCGATCTTCCATCGGAATCGACCCGCTCGCGCCACGTATTTATGGCTGCGGCTAGATCCGATTCTTCGCGTCTCTGACACTCGCCGGAGTTTAACAGCGGAAAAACAAGGCTTTTTCAATGAGAAATACAATATCGTTTGAGGGGGGAAACCACTGAGGGCTAAAAATGTTGGCGATTTTTTAGAATTTTTGGCACCGTAAATCACACTGTATCAGTTTGTGATTTGTTGGGGTAAATGAGAGACTTAACCCTTAAGTGAACTCTCAATCTCAACGATACATAAATTGTTAGTTTAAGGGTTAATATGGCCCCGCAAGAAAAAGTTCAATGGCATCAAATCAACTTTCCAATGACTCATATTGCACACTACCTTTTTGTAATAAAAGGGTGTGTTCATCGACGTTGAAAGAAATTACGAAAAGTTGCAATTACAAGGGTAGAAAAAGGCAAATCCCTCCCTTGTCCACCCATAGAAATCTTTAAAACTTGCCCCATCGTTGTGGAACTGTTTACCCCGTTCAGCACGACGAATGAAATTAAAGATGGCGTGCTATATTTTTATCCGCGAGCGTAAACATCCCCCGAGTCCGAAAGCGTAAGAACAAAGTAGTAATGGGGTTTTCGGCGCGTATGAAATATTCTCTGGTACGATAACGGCCGTGGGAATCGTTTGGAATTTTACGAGAGTGACGGAACGATGCAGTAAGTTCGATAGCAGTTTAGTGCGGTGGGATGTGCATCGAATGCACCGATGTGACGTCGTCGCAACGGTTTCGGTCGCTGGGGGCGCCGGCTGGTGTTACGACGACTTGCCATGGGGCAGTTTTGATGACAGATTACCCTGATCCGCTTTGTGGAGGAGCTCTCATTTAGACAGCCGGTTTGATTGAAAAGTTCGCCGACCGTTTTGTCGAAACAAAAAATTCATGCAGCTACCCTTGTCGTCCGATGTACCCTAGAACGAAACTAGTCTCGATCCTCGATTTATCTTCGACGCATCGAAACGCTACAAATTTGCCAGCCCCAGGGAAAATTGTGCAATTTTTTCCAGAGATTTACCAACAGGGACAATTACGTGTCTTCAGAGTAGGGTCAATGGCGTCAACCTTTCTGTACAGGATCATACGATACCGTGATATAGTAATGACTTTACCGAAAGATGTATAATTCAAGCTCGACGTTCTTAAATTAGTACAAGTGGGGGAGGTTTTGCAGGAGGATCGCGTCTGGGTAGCACGTGGTGCAAGTTTGGGGTGAAATAGTTTCGCCGTAAATAAATAAATTTCTCGGACTAGCCGGTGCGTGATCGCGATCAATTTGGTCGTGTTCGATCGCGGGCATGGGGTTAGTGCGAAAATTTTCGAGAGAGGCTGGAAGGGCGGCGACCGGCTCGCAACGCGAACGAGGGCGCGGATGGCTCGAAGCGTAGAGCAGAGGCAAGCGAGCGAGAGATCGGTAGAGGGAGGAGAGCAGCCGCCACATCTGCCGCCAGATTTAACTATACATTACAGACACACGATATGTCAAAGTCCTATACTTCATATCGACTCCGCCATTTATTAAAAGTTTCATCGCGCGCGCACACCGTTCTGCTCCCGCTTCGACCCCTTCTTTCTGCCGCGCCGTGGAAGAATATAGGAAGGATGCTCGAAATATACGAACGAAAACTTCCAAGGAAGAATATATCGGGGCCGCGAGGGGCGTCGCGTCCCGATCGACGCGTTTCCTGCGCCTCCGGGGACGTCCGTCTTTCGTCTCGCGAAATTTCCATCAAATTTTACTCCCGTTTGTCCGCCTCTCTCCACCTTCCATTCTTATGGATCATAATTTCTTTAATTGGTATTCCAAGAGCAAAATTTCAAAAAAAAAACAAGGCCATGACGTTCGAATATGTCGACAAAAATGGTAATATTGCGATTAAAATTGAAATTAAAATTGCTATTTTACTGATCACAGCCTTTACGTTTAGTCAGATTCGGATTCTGACATAGTATGTTTAGAACTTTGGCAGGAATCTGTTTCCTTATTTTGTTTGGAATTGTGCTGATTTGTTGATTTCTACTAAAATTGCATTTTGGCCAGTTTTTCTGGCAAAATGGGCCACTGTGCGTCGTCGGTCGGTCTCTTCTTCCGTGAGCGCGATTCCAGTGGGAAAAACGTCTCCATTTGGCGGTTTCGCGTGCCCGAATCGGTAAGACTCGGCGGTGCTTATCTTATCTCGGTTAAGCTTAATACTAGAAAAATGGGATTCCTCCGGAGGTCCCTTTTTCCCCGTGACGATACTGGAATTTCTGTCTGTCAGTTCTCTCCTTTTCCACTCCGGCTGCCACCGATTGCGAAATGAAGTTTTATATTAAGCTTCGAGTTTCCTCTCTCCTTTTCCGCGCCGGTTCGTCCCTCCGTCTCCCTTTCTCAGCCGCCTCTCCACCCCCGTTTTTTGTCGACGCCTTTCTCCCACCCTTTCCCCTCCCGCCCTCCCCTCGCGCCCCTTCTATATTTACGTACCGATAGATCGTTATGTCGGCGTTTGCATATATATTGACATCGCCACCCCTCCCGCGAAGATGCCTAATATATAGGCTATCGAGTGGCATAAAGAGACTCGTGTACACCCACGAACCACTCGTTTTCAATACGTTCGAGACCCGTTTCCCGTCCCGGGATTTCGTTTCTATCATCCGCGTGGAATTTTTGCCTCGCCTCGTCCCTTCGATCCCGAAGATATTGCTCGAGAAACGAGCAAATCGCGCTTCAACACGACTTAAGAGTCCAGAGAAGAAACCATCCTGGTCCAATTGTGTGTCGGAGCTCTAATATTTTTTAATTTTTTGAATGTCTTTGCTTTCTTTACTAAGACATTTCCGTAAAAGTAGATCGAAACCGGAAACGTCGAGCTTGATCCTCGTCCTCGGAGTTTCTTCGTCGTCGAGAGAAAAAAAATAAATACGTCTTACTGGGCCCCGCGTGGGCACATCCGCCATTAAAAATAAACCATCTTTCGTCGCCATTTTAGCATGGCACGGTCTCGGCGAGCGGGGCTCGATCTGTCAATCACCGGATCACCGAAACGAGTCTCCGCAAGGGAGGCTCTCTCCCTTCGTTCTCTCGAAACACGACACCCCCCGCCGACCCTTCTCCGAACTTTTTCCTCTTCGACGTCTGAGGTAAAAGGGAACTCGTTAAAGACTCCAAATAAAATCGCTCCCTTGGCCGCGTTGGCCGCGGGAACCGTTCGAATCCGCCCTCTTCGTCCGAACTCGGAGGGATTGTCGTCCCTCCTCGTCGAGACGAGCCGATATCGACGCGTTTTAATTGCTTCTGAAAAGGGTCTCTCGCGCTCGTCGTGATTTCGATGTTGCGGAGTGTCCTCAGATTTCTTTTGGGGGTTCAAGAGGAACATTGCTTCGCTTATTCTTCGAACGACCCTTTGAATCTACAGTATAGGAAATTGCACTGGCCACAGAAAGATGCAGAAACGTTGATTCTAAAAGAAATGTGGATCTTGGGTTCGTCTGCCATTTTATCAACAATCTTTATTGCAATCTGATTTATATATTCCTAACGATAGTAGAATAGTGTATAAAGTCACATCCTAGTAGGTTCAGGACTAAACAACTCGCATATAATTCGACGAAGTCGATGGAAGAATGATTTTGATATTATGTTAAATGTATCGGATCTACCCTTACGTA